AGTGTGAAAAGGGCTCCCTGAAGGGAGCTGCTGATGTTTACAACTTTAAATCAAACTCTTATCGAGTTTGTCCTTTCAGTCTATTTATTTTGGAGCATCACTGATACAGTATGTGTGTGTGTCTATATTTATATGCATGAATGTGTGTATGTGTGTGTATAGAAGAGTTACGGTCCTTCAGCATTATCCATTACAGCTAACTCCATGTTTCCTGTCATCATATTCAAGAGTATTTCCAAGCCCTCTTTGGACAGCACAGCGTTTGAGTTGGCTGCCTTCAGTATGAAGGTTCAGAAAAGAATGGTAGATTAAAGACTCTGCCTGCCGTCGTGGGCAGGGAGGATGCGAGAGACATATGCTTGCAGCATGCTAACAAAGAACCGTCCAAAAGGAAATTTACTGATTTTGTCTTTGTTGAAGGTTTCTCTCAAAGCTTAGAAGTGGTATGGCCAGATAAATTGCTGTGATAGCTTTGAACCCAGATAGAGAGCTAAAATAAATTAGATGCTATGAAATAATATTTGATCAATAGATTAGATTCCTCTCATGTGCAGGGCCAGATTTGTTACAGTTATCCATGAGAAATATCCTTCTTAGCTTCAGTGGAAGTATTTGTGATGGAGAGTCGTCAGACTGGGACCCTTGGTATCCAATTCTGTGTGTTGAGACACTTAAATTCGATGTAAGACCAGCTTCAACACAAAGTTCCCCAAACCGTTGTCAGTATGTAGCTGCTTTCAGGTGCTGCAAAATGGGGACTCCGAGAGAAAAGCCAGGTTCCTATTAGGCTAATCGGTCCTTGCGCGGTTCTCGGTGATGCTTAGCATGATAACAGATCATGCATTATTCTGATTTGTTTAATTTTCTTTTTGTATATGTATGTGGTAGGTAGAAGTAATATCTTTTACTGGGCCAACTGGTGTAGTTGGTAAAAACAAGCTTCAGTGCTGAGATGGTTAACTTCAAAGTTAACTGCAAAGCCAAGAACTGTTGCTCATGGTTTGACTAGATATGCATCAGTTTGATCATCTCTGAAACAAACGATGGCTGTTTCTCAGGGAAAACGGAGCTGATTCCTGTAGGAGAAGGGTATGTTGTGCAGGGGAGGGAAGAAGAAAGAAAGATACTAAGGTATTTTTTGTCCTAAAAGGAAAAGTGAGATGGTTTATAGCCTGTAAACTTGGAGAGTTACAGAAAAGTGGAAGGGTGATTATAAAATACTCTACAACCAGTATCTCTATGAAATTTCATGCACTATCTTCTCAGCATGGGAACTTAAGTTCATGATTAAATACCTTCAGGATAGATGTGATACCCATCTCAGGGTGGGTTGGTGTGCCCAAAAGCTTATCTCATTTTTCAAACTCTAACAGTTGATCATATAAAAGATGCGACTTCTACCTGCTCACCTCCACCTCTCTTGCCTGTGTCCTTAAACCGCGACATCTCCAGCAAAACACCAGCAGCAAATGGATTTCAACATTTCTTTTGTTTTCCTAGAAGTAAAACTATACTATAAACACTACAATGCCGTGAGTATGGTATAAAAGTCTGCAGATCCTCCAAGGCAAAATACAATATAAAAGCAGAGTCCTCATGTTACAGCTTTGCACCATTAACAGGATAGCTCTTCAGAGGCATCTTGGAGAATGATCCCACAGCCGGTTTTGGCACCCAAGGCTGTGTTTTGGGCCACACTGTTCGGCATACCAGCACGTGTTTGAATGGATCCTGCTGCGCAAAATTAGCCCCAGCACTGCTGTTATTTTGCTCTGATTAAAAACTAGCATTTGCAAGGTGCTAATGCTGCTGAAGAGACCTCAGGTGTAGGATGGTCCCCATCACTGTAGTGTTTGAGGGCTTCACAGGGTCCATCCCCTCGTAAAGTAAACAACTACTATTCTCCCTATTTGGGAAACAGCCAAACACCGAGACTGTTTTTCCAGAATTACCAGAATTGCATAAGGAACATAAAGTTAGCGGTGGTAGAACACAGTTTGTGAACTATTGGAACCAGCAGTTGCTTATTGAAACCACCAGCAATTCAGGAAATGATCCCTAAACTAAAAAAAAAAAAAATATAGCCTGTATTTGAGCTACATGCCTCATTGGAAGTTTCATATAGCAAAAATGCATTTGCAAGTCCTTGTGGATGCTGACAGGAAAGACCTTCTGGAAGAGCTGGCAAGGGTACCATGCCCCAAGAACTTGGTCTGCCCATGTTTCCAAAATAAAATTTGACAAGAGGGAAACATGATCTGTGCTTCTACAGCTTGTTAACAAACTTGTTCATAAAGCAAAATGCTTCATCAGCTTTGGAGGAAAAATGTTCTTTGCAAATATAAGTAAATTTTCTCTTTGCAGCTTGGTCTTTTTGATCAGTAACTGAACAGACGCTTTGACTTGTAGCTGTCCACATTAAGTGTTCAGCTTAGTTTTCTTCTGCAGATTTGTAGATGATGGTCAGTGCTCCCAGCTGGCTCATGCTGAGGACACCTGCCTTCACCAAGAAGGTGTCCTTGGGCAGAGCAGAGTGCTCATGACATATTGGAGTGACTGTAGGGCCTGAGTGTGCGCAAATCTGCACACACGTGTGCACCTAAGCTAACGAGCTGTGCAGGGCAGGCAATAAACTAGAGTCTTCTCAGGCTGCTGGGTCATCTCTTCATAGAAGTGACCTGGAGGCAGTCAGGGACACTCTGGGTGATGCCATTTAGGTCATGTAGGTGTGGCTGTGATAAAGCTGTAGGAGCTACTTCACATGATGATTTCATGCCAGAGAAATACAGAAAATGCACTGTACGGTGGGTGCAAGACCAGGTGGGCTCTGTGTCCATCTGGGAGCATACACTGCATGGGATCCATCAAGGTCTGTGCTGGGCCTGGCAGTATTCCCTGTGAGGGACAGAGGATGGAACAATGAACATGATACTTAACCTAGATGCTGCCTCACCAAACTTTTAACTGCCTGGCTTCAGCAGGAAATCCAGACCAACTTGTCTCCCTGTCAGTGGGAGAGGTGATCAGAAGGAATACTCTTCAGAGGAAGATCTGAGGATCTTCCAGTTCTCAGTCAAACACCTCCCCTTCTCCATCAATAGCACAGGGACCCAAGAGAGGATGTTAGGCGCCATTTGTGAGCCATGCTTTGCTCATGGTACCAGTTCTCTCTACTTGAGTTAGAAGTTATGTGGCAGTGGCAGTCAGCCAAGTGCCCTTCCGAGTTCAAGGTGGGCTATCCTGAGTGGGAACCCTGCTCCTTCCGGCCCACAATCCTGCTGGCTCCAGTACTCTTGAATAACTCAATATAGATTAGTTTAGTCGCAACAGAATGGGATTGGTGGCTCTCCAGTCTTGGGAGATGGGTGTTTAGTCTCTCACCTTACTCTCAAGAGTCAGCAGTTTGTCTCATTTCTCTCACATCTTGGGTGAGTGATGCCAGCAGGAAGGAGGGGAGCGATTTTGAGGAGGCTGGTCCCAGAGAGCACTTCTTAGATGTGCCATTGACATGAAGGTAGAAAAAGCTGCATGTCCTTTGAAGAACAGGGTTACAGTTTGGAATGAGCTGGGCAAAATGAAAGAAATGTCTCCAATTCATGGGACACATAAATGGAAACAGCAGGCTGGGGTATGTCAGCAGTTTCATCTTTTAAGAAACACAAAGCAATGCTGCCATTCTGCTGCCTTAGTTGGAAAACAGTGAACATTTTGGGTACCTCCCTCTCAGGAAGATGTGGACTCGTTGGAGAAAGTCCAGAGAAACTCAGTAGATCAGAGGATTAGAAAATATGAGTTATGAAGAAACAGTGAAAGAATCAGTTTGTTTAGTCTAGAGAAGAGAAGACAGAGAGAAGACATGATAACAGTCTTCAAATATGTGAAAGGATGCTTCAAAGACAAAGGGAATAAACTATTTTCCATGTCTTCTGGGAGATAGTGGGGCACTGGAATAGGTTGCCTAAGGAATCTCCATCTTTTGGACATCTTTAAGGACTGGTTAGCCAAGTAGCTGTCAAAATTATTTTGAGAGATCTGGGGTGAGGGAGAGGACTAGATGACCGCTGAGCCCCCCAGACCCTCTGATTATTTTATTGCAGCTCCCTAGACTGGGAGGCTCTGGGCCTGATGGATTCTTAATTTCTTATAACTTTTTATCGCTAATGGACGTTGGGTTTCTACACTGTGGCTAAAAAATTGGTTTCTGTAAACATCACATACAACATAGGAGGCAATCTTTGCTTCGTGGCTTCACCTGTGGTAGATAGCACTAATTGCCCCAGCACATGGCCCAACATCAGTTCACTATGGTGCCTATTCTTGCAACAGATCGCATGCCTTGAGGAGTTAAAAGAATCAATAAAATTCTCTTGAAATGTTTGTGCTTACCGGAGATTTGAATGTGTCTTTATCTGTTCAAGAAACTGCGCATGATCAGTTAAGTTTTTAGGTTGAGTGTTGTTCAGGTTAAGCTATTTGTGCAGCCTGTGCTGCTTTAGTGAGCGTCCGTGTATCTACTTTACTGTAAATCTACATTAATCATGATGAATGGCTATGTACGTTTCAGGGTGGCAGGAAAATCTCCAGTGCAAACAGAAATCAGACAGGTTGGAGTGGCTCTGGAAGCTGCTGTATGGTTGAGGCTAAAAGTAGTCTCAGCCTGTTGATGTTAAATCTTTAGATGTAAAGTAAAAAAAAAAAAAAGGTAGAATGTTTTCATCTACGGCCGTAATGGTGATAGAAAGCAGCCGTGCACCAACAAAATAAGGTCATACCTCTTTGTAGCTGCCAGACCTACAAGCCTTATCTACACTTGCTTTTATTGCCCCAGATTTTCCACCACTGCTGCCAGCAGAGACAGCGGTGGGAAGTTTGAGCCCTCATGTGAATGAAGTCATCATCACTGCAGGAGCAACCACACCTTGGACCAGCCAGGAGAAGCAGGAAGGGTATTCAGGGAGAGCAAAAGATCTATCAAAACGTGTCTTGTCTGTCTGTTTCAGGATCGCTGGTGACACAGCGCTCAGCAAAAACATCCATGAGTCAGTCAGCGCTCAGATCCGGAAGAATTTTGCAAAAAGCAAATGGAGAGTAAGTGACCCGTCCTCAGGGATGATGCTTACACACATAACTTTGCTAACGCGGCGGCCACTCAGCCACCCTTTCAGGGTGTTGGTGCTTTTGTGGCTCAAAATCTGTGTCAAAATAGTTGGTCCAGACTATTCAGGCCCTGCAGAGCCTTTTAAGGAGGATGCTACTAATCAAGTACATAAACGTAACGAGTGTGAGAGATGGGGCTGGGGCTGCTCATAGCTAAAGCACCCATGGTTATATGTGGAGTTGGGGTCAGCATTGCGGGTGGGACTTGAAGCAATGAGGACACCCTGTGTGTTGGTGCAGGGAAGGATGTGTCAAATATGACTTTCCTTGTAGGCTGTCGCATCCCAACCGAGTGCTAGAAGGAACGATGGGCAGCAGGACCAGGGCAGAAGCATGCATGGTTTGATATTGCTGTTTCTAGCATAGAAACTAGAAATTGGGCAAAGTTTGACAGATGATGGACTCATCATGAGGATGGTCCGAGGGCTGGAGCACCTCTGCTATGAGGACAGGCTGAGAGAGTTGGGGCTGTTCAGCCTGGAGAAGAGAAGGCTCTGGAGAGACCTTATTGCGGACGTCCAGTACCTAAAGGGGGCCTACAGGAGAGCTGGAGAAGGACTTTTTACTAGGGCATGTAGCGATAGGATGAGGGGGAATGGCTTTAAACTGGAAGAGGGCAGGTTTAGATTAAACATTAGGAAGAAATTTTTCACTTTGAGGGTGGTAAGGCACTGGAACAGGTTGCCCAGAGAGGTTGTTGAGGCCCCATCTCTGGAGGTGCTCAAGGCCAGGCTGGATGGGGCTTTGAGCAACCTGGTCTGGTGGGAGGTGTCCCTGCCCATGGCAGGGGGGTTGGAACGTGATGATCTTCAAGGTCCTTTCCAACTTAAACCATTCTATGATTCTATGATTCATTCACTTCTGACAGCTCTGAGCAGCAGAAGTAACCCTTCCACCTCCGATTTTTTAATTCTTTCTTTCTTTCTTGTTTTTTTTTGTTTTGTTTTGTTTTGTTTTTTCTCCAGCAAGCGTTTAACGCCACAGCGGTCGTGCGACACATGAGACGGTTACACCTCGGCAGCAGCCTGGATAGCGCGAGCGCCAGTGTGTCAAGCACCCTCAGCCTCGCCACGCCACTTCCCGACACAGCCACACGGAAAGATTGTGAGTAGCCGACAGCCCGGCAAAGCTCCCACCGCAGCAGCCGAGCAAATTGGCGGGATCGCCATTTTCTACTTGACCCCCCCAGGCTGCAGTCCTCGCTGCCAGTAGGTTTGGCTTTGTGCAAGCAGGTGTTTAAAGTAAAGACTCAAAAGGGAACGAGGCCTTCATTTTTAGCTGGCCAAAAAATAATTATTCGATTGGAAAAGTTTATGCACTAAAAAAAAAAAAAAGAGTTTTCAGCTCGGTGCATTTTTGAGAGAAAACCACTCTTTCTTGTGGAGAAAAAGGGCTTTCGCTTGGGAAAAAGACCCAGACCCCCACAGCAAAAAAGTTTTGCATTTGGTTGACAGCTGAAAAAGTTTACCCTAACTGTTTATGTTTGAGTTTCCAGTATTATGATAAGACATTTTTCCGTAAAAATTGGCTTACTTTCCATTTCGCTTTTCCATGGGGGAGACTGATCCTGCCAGTCTGACCCAGCTTCCCTCTCCCTGGGCCAAATTAAGCTCCTGTACGAAGCGGCTCATTTGTCTGAGCAGGACTCAGGCTCTGTACACCACAGCAGGACTCGGACCACCGCCTTGTTTGTTATTTGCTGTAATTGAGATTTGCTAGCTGTCCAGTGGAGTCAGATGCTTGGAATATATATTTTTTCAAAATGCCAGGGATGGAGACATGGCAGCAAAGGGATCATTTGGAAGACAAAAATGTTTCCTTTGCGGTGAAGCCTATTTAATCTCTGGCTTCTGAGCATTTCTTTTATTCCCTTCTGTCCATCTGTAGAGATTTTTATATCATGAAATGGAGGTATGTGGACTTTACAGTTAGAGGACATTATTTTAAGGTGCGGCACCAAAAAGGAATGCTAGTAGTTTATGCCATTGCAAGTCAGCGCTTACTTCACTGGGGACTGCAGCGGTCGTTTCTAGACTGTACCCTGCACTATTCTGGAACCAAAAGCACCTACTATTGAGGATGGAGTTTGGATGGCACTGCTATCTGCCTCTGCCGGCGCTGCCTGCCAGCCTCCACTCTTTGACGAGAACATGCTGCCAGCTGCAGTCCTCATGGCTCTGGATGGAAGCTGTGGTTTCTCTTGCTGTCATGGGGATGGTTTCCCCCAAGCTGGGGTGGGATCTGCCCTCTGGGCACCGCGTGAGATGTTTTTCCCAACCTGTGAGCCAGTGCAGAGCCCCTTCTCTCTGCATCCCAAGCCTGATGAGGATTCATGCCTGGTACCCAGTTTGCAATGCCCAGTGCCAAATCCTACAGCTGCTGCTGAAAAAGCATCGCTGTGCTCCTGGCGCACATCTGGCACCTGCAAAGGAGTGATGCAGTGCTGACTGGCAGCAAAGCACTTCCAATCATGCACTGGCAACGCAGTGGTGTAGGAAATTCCTTACATGGTAGAAATGTGCCTTTATTTTGGCTCCTGCTGCAATATGGCTAAGCTGGACCCCAGTTAGGTCTAGAGCATCTGATAGCATGTTTTGCTGTTAAACTGGTGGGTGATTAATCTCCATTCATCTATTTGATTAATCTCAAATGGTGTTAATTAATAACATTGAGTAGTCTGAATAGTGATGGAAAAACATCTGCGAACAAGAAGGGTGGGAAGAGAACAAAGTCTGTTTAACCTCTACGGAACCCAGCAGATCCCTGTACAGAATCCGACCATATTTTGCAGTGATGGAGAAGTCAGCCAGGATATGAAGGATAGAACCAGACATGTTAAGATAGGTGAAGTTTTTTCATGTCAGAAATATGTGGCAGAAAAGTATCAAAAGATTTCCAAACATCCTAGGTTAAGTCTGGCTTACCAGACAACACAGAAGATCTTCCCTTCCTCAAAGAAATTAATTAAAGAGTTAAAAGACACTGGAGCCCCAGAGAACCAGTGAGGAGAGCCAGGAGCAAATACAAGGAGTGATATTAAGAGGGAGCTGACATATCAAATGCAGTCTACCAGATACCTCGTGCTACGAAAAGGGAAACCTCTGAGGTCTTTCTCCTGCCTCTTTCTTTCTCAGCAGTTTTCTCTGGGGACAGATTTCTTGCACAAGAAAGATCCCATGCACCAAGTTACATGAAACAGCTGTGCCACCGTTACAAAACATAATACTGCCTAATGCTATTAATAGACATTTAATGAGCTCTCCAAATAGTTTCAAATGCAGCAATTTCAAATCATTGAAGACAATTAAATACAGCCTTTGCCTGAGAGTAGGTTATGTCAGGCTGCATCCTAATTCTGTTCCCTGTATTAGGGCAGAGCAGAGATGATGCATTAGGCTGGATTATGCTACCTGTCAGGAAAGTCGAAGTGAATTAGTTAGGATTTCTCAAGTGTATTGGCCTGATTCTCAGTCCATGCCTTGTTTATTCTGTTTAGACATGATTGGACTGCCTAGATTAATTACAGCACGTAGATCTCTGTATTTTGAAGGTAATAGATTAATTGCAGCGTGGAGCCAAGATGTCAAATGTCAATACTGCTCGGAAATGGGATGTGGCTGAGTGTAGGTACAGCATAGTCATCCCTGAGGTTGAAATGCCACCTTGAAGAATGGAAAAGTAGGTAAAAGGAGTAACAAGCATCAAAAAGATCCTGAGTAGTCAAGGGGCCCTATCAAACTCCAGTCCGAGAATATGTAAATGTAGGCTTTATCCATCCTTTATTCACCAGGCTGGAAAATGAACTATATTTCTAATCACTCTGAGCCTGCATCTTGTCAGAGCAAGGTGACCATGCCAGGTCCCTGTTCAGCAGCCTTTCCCATACCGGAGCTGCTTTTGCACACCAGTGCCTGCAAGGCTGCCAAACTGCATGGAGAGCTGCATGTGCCAGCAAAGTCTAAGGATCTCCCCTGTGGGGTCTCAACAGCTGCTGGGAGAGGGGTAGTTCATCTGTGGAAAGCTCTGGCAAGGATATATTTTATTTCTCTTCATTAACATTTTCCTCAGAAACTGCTGACGTTGTGCTGGAATGGCAAAATCTTGATTTGTCATTCAAAACCCAGCCTACTATAGGGTTTTCAGGGGTTATGCTTTGAAGGGTTTTGTTTTTTAAAGCTGTGATGGAAGGTTCACTGCAAGTGGACACTTTCTATAAACATTTTAATTTAGCTAAACCCCCTTTTTTTCATAAAAAATATCTGTCAGCAGTCTTTGATTAGTTCAAAAGGAACTGCCTGGGTAAATCTCTGAGTCCAGATACTCAACCTACGTCAACCTCTTAGCTGGAAGTCCTGGAGACATACCAGCAAAACCCAGAGCGATATAAGCTGTCTCTAGAATGATGTCCAAGTCACACAAATTTACATTTCCTCTGGGTTCACTGGAACTCAGCAATGAATTTGACCCACTGTACTTTTTTATCAGCATCTTTGCAGAATGCTTGGGAACATTTTTTTAGTCCAGGTGCACAGTCTGTTCATTTAGCTAGATGGCCATGATGAGAAGTTTAATCATCTTTAACACGCCCACAAGGAAAATTATTCTGAGCAAGTACAATGCTGGAGGGATTTTTGAATCCCACAACTCTTTATCTTCAGCCCTAGAAACATGGAATCAATCTGGTTGAACACGTACCAAAGCTGGACATTTATTCATTGCGACATGTGTATGCAACTGCCGGTGGTGGCAGTAGGCAAACGGCCGTGGGCCAGGAGGGCAGAAGATGCCCCCTGGAGGTACCCAACCAACCCACCACTGCGGGAAGAGCAGGAGCGCCGTCTCCAGCAGTGGTCCCCTCTGCTCTGTAGCGTGCTACAAAAGAAACGCAGCTTTGCCCACATTCCCGCCCCCCAAAATAACATTTCTAACTGTGTTTCTGGCTTTCCTTTTAGGTATGTCTCCATCCACTCTCTGTAGTTTTGTTTCATCTGCTTCTTCAGGCGTTTCAGCGGTAGGAGGGGACCGGAGACCCAGACCCACCACAGTGACCACAGTGCACACAGGGAGCAAGTGAGAGCCGGGGCGGCGAGGAGCGGGCAGACGGCTGGGCTGGCAGGGTTCCCCTGCACCATCCCACCCTGCGGTGCACGCTCCGCGAAGGACTAGAAGAAAGAAGATTTTTTATGGCCATATTTTATACTGCGATTCTGAAATGTTTCATTTATCACAAACTGCAATGACTCCAGGGGGAACGGATCTAACAGTCTCTGGTGCTGTACATATATATACATATATATAAGTATATATATATATATGTGAGTCTAGCAATGTTCTAACTAATGAACACTCATTCTTTCCCCAGTGATTTACTCTTTTCTCAGTGTAGGTAACAGTATATGTTGTATTTTTTTTCCATTAACTACAAACATCTCAACTGGATTATTTAAATAGAGATACTTTTCTGAGCATTATTTTTTTTTCTTTTAGAAAGTACTTCCAGTAACATCCCTCCATCCAGTTTGCTGGGGGATAGGCTATTTCTGTATGTAGGAATTGACATTAACTTTGCAACATGGGAGGATTTCAATGGCATGCCATTTCTTGATCCTCAAATTGGACTGCAAGTCTGTCTGGCTTTAGCAGAGCTGTTACTGCTCAGATTAAGAAACTGCTGCTTTCCCTCCCCTCCTCCTCCTTGAAAGCCATGGTGAGAGTTAAATTGCCACCAGCTGGGAGCCAGCGCATCCTTGGCCTCATTCCTGTAGCGCTGGGGATCTGCAGCACCCCTGTTTCAGAGGAGAGGCAGATATACGGTGCCCGTCAGGAGCCGAACAGAGCTGAGCAAACAAAATGGCAGAGCACGGTCTCATCCTGCAGCTCCTATCTCCTTCGAGCCGCTGTGCGTTAGGAGCAGAGCGAAAGAAAGGGACTTGTAGTCATCCTCTGCCATTGACTCGCTGTGCTGCCCTTGAGCAAGACGTTTAATTCACCGGCCTCCTCCTAGCCTGGCCTCTGGCACGGGGCGCATCCAGCCTGAGGGCTCTGTGCCAGAGGTGCTGAGGTCCTGCAGCTCCTCAGGGCCTTTGCCCGGTGTTGCTGATGCTCAGCACCTCCCAGAGCAGCCAAAACCAAGTCTTGGAAAACAACTGGCAAAGCTTGGACCTTAATCTCGGCATGCCTGGGTCACACCCCTGGGGAGAGGGGTGATGCTCGCATCGCTCCATGAAGCACTAGCAGGTTCTTGGGTGCAAAGTGCAGGATCTGGTGGAGCTCTGGCCAAGGGCTGGCGAGGAGCGCTGAACTGGGAAAGTAGGACCTCCCCGAAAGGCACAGGCACATGCAGGGACAGGGGTGGCACTGCCTCACCCTCCTCCCCAGAAGCTCGTATACAAAAGCAAGCTCAATTTCTCCTTTTTTTTTTTTTTTTTAATTATTAAATACATGCACTTCCCAGGCTCTGTGTGCTGGTACCTCATTTAGGAACAGCCACTGTGAGTGTTGTGCAGCTGTGCATCAAAGCAGATTGAAACAGAGAGGAGAGCGAATCTGCCCAGATTTGCTGAAGGGCTCCAGGTTACTTCTACGCTATTCCCAGCTGTGGTTTTCCTTTGAGGAGGAGAGAAGGCAGTCAGGTAGCAGAGGCAGGCACCCTTCCCCAGCCACTGTGAGCCTCTCTCACCCCAGACAGGTCCATCCCCAGCCAGAGGCACAAGCCACTCCCCGCAGCATGCTCTCATTGCCACGCTCGCCTCATTCATCCTGCACGAGAAATTGTGAAAGCCAGTCAGAGGCACAGCTGAATGTATCAGGCAATAGTAACCGTGCTGGGAAAAGCCATAAGATACATATTTTTAATTGAGACTTCAAAATCCTGCTTCAGCTTCAGTTTGTTGGCTTCGACCGGCTGAGCTGGGATTTCATCCATCGTGTTTTGAGCGCTAAAAGCCGGAAAAGCAGGTGGCAATGAGCGTTGACTCTGTTCAAAGAGGCTACCGCTTTGGTGGCACTTAAACCTGTTTCACCTGATAGATGTCTAGCTTCCTCAGCATTAATCTGCTCCCTGTTTTCAGAGGGCTGTGGCACATCTGAGTGAGCCCCTGGGAGCCGCTGGTTACCTCGATCGTGTTGTAGCCAGCATGGATGCTCATGCAGAAAGGCTTCAACCTCAGCTTCTCATTTGAGGAACGATGCCAGATATTGGTCTCTTAGGGGTTGGTAGCAAAACTCCTTATGATTTCTCTGGTGAGGACTTCTGACCAAGATTTGGGCAGACTGAAGGGCGAAGGATCTCCTCGCTGCAAGTCCCCATCCCCAGGCCGCTGCCACAGTATACTCCTGCCCCACTGACAGAGTAGGACAAGCTTTAGTGGCATTTACCCCCAGCGCTCTTTATGTCTTGCTGCAAAGGTATGTGAAAATGAGTATAATATAATTTAAACTCATTCTAAGGCCACTTTATTTTGCCAACCTGAGCAAGGAAGCTTTAGGCTAGGAAAGAATCCTATCCCAAGAAATTCAAGTTATTTTGAACCCCTGTGATTCCATAAGCGTAGCTGGCCCTATTCTGCTCCGGTTGCAGGGATATAAATAGGCAGTCTCCCAGTTTGGTGCCAGTGGAGTTTCCCACATTTACACACGTGCAATCAAAAGCAGGATTTGGTTAGGGAATATTTTTGTCTTTGTAGAGTGGTTTTAAATTTAAGGATCAAGCATTCCCTCTTTGCCTTCTCTTCTGAAACCTGAGGTCTGGTTTGAACTTGAGATAGTTTCTGAGGCCACTAATCAAAATACGGTGTCCAAACGTATCTTGCAGGGGAAAAAAAAAAAAAAAGCAAATGGATTTCCATCTGCAAAACAAAGAGCAGTGATGGGAGCAAAGGCAGACATAGTGTCCTGCAGCTGGGGGGTTCACAGATGCTGGGTGCCCCTCCTTGCTGGATGCTTTCTGTATTTTTTGTTGAGAGGGGTATTCTTTCCTTCCACACTTGGGATTAGAGTGATTTGTTTTCCTTCCTGCAAGTAATATTCGACCGTAGTTGTGTAATTTATCATCATCATTCTCTTTGGCTTGCTATCAACTGCTGGGATCTTAAAGACAAGAAACAGAAGCACTTAAAAGCAAAATTGTTTCTTTCTGCTACAATTTTGGGTGCTGGGAAGCTCTTCTTTTGTATCAGTGAAACACAGCTGGAGACCTGACCAGGGGTTCACCACGTGCTTACAGATTGCTCTTTCCATTGAGTCTTGAAGTATCTCTTGATTAAAACTTCTCAGTTTGAGTCTGGATAAATCTGTTAACAAGGATGACTTAGCAGCACCCAGGCCAGATTTACAGAGGGGGCTGGAGCCGTTTGACTCTCTGCAGCACAGCCTGGTACAGTAAACATTCGGGCATCACTTGCCAGGGACGCTCCAGTGCCGTTGCGTGTCCTTCCCCTGCCCCAATCCACCTCTGCGCAACCACTCTCACAAATGAATGCAAAACCAGGAGTAAATAGTGTGTGCATGTGGGGAAAGCACTAATAGCCCAGAAGCAGAAGATTCAAACCAAATCCCCAACTGGCCTTGCAGGTAGGAGCAGGTAGAAAAATTCCTTTGGGCTCTTTCCCAATGAACTGTCCTACTAAACATGTGTGATTTGCTCCTCACATGAGGACTTCAGCCTGGACGCACCTTGTCTGTTACCCTTTTCTGCTTTACTCTACTGGCACCGATGTGTTTTTCCTTTGTAACTTGTTTTCCTCAGCTCCTTCCCCTTCTTTTTGTTTGCTTGCAGCTCTGATTGTTGATTTTTACCTCCAGAGTCACAGAGGCCATCTCTGATGCCAACAGCAGTGCTCTTGCTGGAAAAACAACAACAAAACAAAAAAAAATCCAGAAAACCTCCAGCTGGCCCCTTAGCCTGCAGAAGAAGTTGTGAGGACAGGCTGCCCGTGAACTCTGTGAGCTGAAAGTCAGTGTTGCAGTGGCAGGGGCTTCTGCTGCGGATTTTGCATGTAATTTCATTCCCAGTGCATCCCAACTTTCTGCTGGATCATCCCTTCTGCAGCACAAAGTGGATATTGGCGCCACGGCACAGCTAGTGGGGAAGTAGGAGTACGGGGAAAACCTGGCAGTGATGCTTTCCTGAGACTGTGTTACTCTGTTGGTGATGTCTCTTCTGTCCTGATTGCTATTGTACAGGTGCCATTGGAGTAGTAGGTTTAGCAAAAAAAAAAAAAAAAAAAAGTAGGATTTTAACTATGCCGTGTGTGTCTGTTATGGTTGTGGTACTGAAATAAAACCAAGCAATGATAGAGGTTCGTTCCTGATATGAATCAAACCACAAAAAGGGGTGTCAGCCCACTAGTAGACATCTCCATGTAGTTTTGCAGTAGGCATTAGATAGGGGTTTCCTCTGTGCATGTGTCCTTCATTCCTCCATGGCTATTGACAGTATTTTTTCCTATAACCGGTTCTCCTTCTGCACAGCCCTGAGGGACTTCGGGGCTTGGCCAAAGCTTTTCCCAGCACCAGGAGCCAACACAGCCCCTGACCTCTGGCTTTTCTGCCCCAGCCCTCTGCAAACCAGAACATGGACCTCCAGGGTGCCCAAGAAATGCAATGGCAGCTGACCCTGAGGCTGCCCCTTCCTTAAGTGTGACTTTATATTTAGGGAAACAAGCCTCCAGGGAAAGCCAGATACCTTTTAGCTATTGAGGAGCAGTGAGAATATTGTCCTTTGATGTGAACTTGGCGTTAACTGGATTGGATATAGGGAAACCTGTGCTATTATTTCACCCTGTGATAACAGCTCCAGACCAGAGCAGCACTAGATGAGCACTGATTGATTTTGCCAACAAGTTCATGCAGACTGTAGCCTGTTGCTTTTGCTCTTTCCAAAGAGCCAGGGGATTCATCTACTGGCAAAATAACAGTTTCGAGACTGAGCCCCGAGGTACAGAAGTATCATCCTTTCAGTGTATGGAAATTCCCATTTAATAGGATTAGTTGCGTTCTTGCTCCCATGCGTATTTATCCGTCTGAACTGGGTCCTGAATGCATCCCAGAACTTTGTTATCATGCCTATTTGCACCAGAAACTTGATGCTAAGAATTACACTCATTCAAGCAAAAAGCAGAAACACACACAAAGACTACGGTATCCAAGGAAAACAGCATCGAAATCAAGTGCAGAGGATTAGTTGGCAAGTCACTGTGAGCAATGGCTGAATGAGGAAACGGCAACCTGCTTACAAACCTTGCACGAACAGAGTTTCCCCTGGTAAATTAGTCATTCCAGATTTCTTGCCCAGCAGCAAATTTTACACAATCCCTTTTGTTTTTCCCGCATGCCTGCAGCTGGGTCCTGCCTTCCCATCCCGTCTGCCAGGGTGGTCCGATCTCCGTGACACACGTGTGTGCGTGTGTGTGTGCGTTTGTGTGTGTGTGCATGCGTGTTGTGGCCCCAGGGATCACAGATCCCACCAGTGGGAGGTCAGGAGTTGGTTCAGGTTTTTTGGTCTGACTTTGCATGGTTGGGTCAAAGCTGTGTAAATAGTCTTTGTAACGGAGGATAAAGGCTCTTTAGCCCAGACTCTGGTTTTCAAGACCCCTTCCCCACCATGAACCATGCCAGTGGCATTTTTTTCCTCCTCTTCATAAATGATAAGGTCAGAAGAGCGGCTCTTACATTTTTTCCATACTCAAGGGTGGAATGAGGGCATGTACGCTCACAAGTGTTGTGAAAAAACACTGCTGAACTAATGATGACATCAAATGTCCAATAAATGCATGATACTGCACTGCATGTGTTAAACTGCTGTTCACTGTTTCTGTATTTCCCAAGCCTTTTCTTTATGCACATTCAACCCAACCTTTTCTTCGAGGGGTTTACTTCTACGTTTTGCTTTTAAATGACTCGATGTATCTGTAAGTCGAAATCCATCGTTAAGTTTGAGTAAATGCAAAAGCTGATGTTTTGTAAACAAGATACTGCAAAGCCTGATAATGTATTTTGTCTTTCTGTTGAATGCTCTGCAGCATGTAGAGGAAGAGTCACCATCCAGAGCAGCTTAAAACTATGCAGCAGTCACGAACACACGTCTAGAAACAGGGAGTCGGGGAGGGGAGGATCCCTTTTTGAATACAATGCTTAAAAATCTGACCTGCATCAAAAATTCCTTCCCTGGGTTGCTAATGCTCAGGAGTACCGAGAAGCATGTTGGTGTGTCTCTCTGTTTTTTCTTTTTGTTCGTTTTTCTTAGTCAAATTTTAGACCGATTCACTCAATTCTTAGTGTATTTCTCCTCCTACAAGATATTTCTTTCTCACCTCTTACAGAATGAACTGCATTTTGGGGACCAGGATGCTGTGATTATTTGCCTGTACAAAATAAGGCAGAGAGCTGAGCTAATTATCCCATCCTTTCTAAAGCATCTCCACATAAATACTAGCATTTAATCTTTGAGCCTCCATGTAGTACCACCATTTATCTGTGGAAGAGTTTGGTGTGGTAATTTCCCTCTTCCACATGGAAATTACACCCTTGCCTTCTCTTCCCTTCACCCATTTTCGTCCACGCTGGTCTTTCGAAGGCAGAGTACAGGATGGCCGCATGGTACTTGTAGTAGCTACAGCCCAATCCTCTTGTGGGCATCAGCAGGGCATTGGTCCCAGCTCCTAAGTGGTTCCTGTGTTAGCGTGGAAGATGCTCAAGTTCCCAATACTCAATGTTAAGCCATCTGAAAGGGCTGGGTTCCATGCTCTGGGTTCCTGGCAAGGGCATGCCAAACAGCGGGGCTGGAGAGAAAGCACCATGCCAGTGGTGTAGGGAGCAAGTATCAGTCCTTGGAAATTCTGCAAGGGACTGCTCCATGGTGGCTAAAAGCACCAAGAATTCTTAGGCCCACCTTCAAGGCTGGTGCTTAGCCAGGATGCTGTGCCACTGCTGAAGCACTACATGGCAACATAAAAAATCATCATTAATAGTAATTGTAACTAAGCCTGAGCTCGGATTGCTGAGGCAGCACATGGTGCAAGGCTCCATGAGGAGGTGGACGTGCACTGTGGTTCTTGGTGGGTGGGAGCCCCTAGGAGGATGCTCAGGGTAGCTCTGAGCTTTTCCGTCTCTCATCTGCATCCCCTGAGCCCAGCACGTCATCACACATGCTATGTCTTACTAAAGCTGTAGCATGACCCCCAAAGTGAAGAGCATGGAAGGTGATAGCTCAGAGGGAGATACAGTGTGACTCATATTTCTGGTCAACACATCAGCATCCTGTTGCACATTGGCCTCTAGTTGAGAAACAGCATTTTGGTCAGTTTGGGCCTTTTTTTAGGTAGTTATTTGATTTGGGTCAGCAAACGATGAAAAAAAAACCCAGTCTGCCCAGACTAGTGACTCCCCAAATATCCCCAACTGCAAAACATCTCTCAGTTGACTTTTAATGAAAATGCTAGCATGTTTTCTACAAAGGCTTAAACCTTAATCAAGGACTGTCAGTGTGCCTAATATTGCAGGTCTTGTGATTGATACAAGTTCATAACAGCATCCTTGTCCAAACAGAAGGGAGAATGTGTATTTACTCCATGCATGTATTAAGGCATCGCAAAAGTTTTATCTGCATAATGAGTTTGCAATACTGCAAATTGTTAATGGGGCTACGTCGCAAGTGGTTCTCTGCCTTGACAATCATGTATACATATCGAGATTTCTATCATAATGACAATTTAAAGGGGTGACTAATTGTTTTCCTCCAATAAATCCAATTAAATGACCCTGATGTGAAGTCTGATGTTTTTGAGTGCATGATCTTCCACCTATGTCTAAGAAAGGGAGCGAATCATTTCTATGGCTGCTCCACTTCATTGAGTTTTATGCAACGATGTCCCTTTATGTCCCAAAGGACAGTGAGATTTTTTTCATCCCCAGTTCAGTCCATAGGGAAACAGATGAAAAGGACGATTTACCCTTCAGGTGTTTCCTAAAGCAGCTGTCGGAAGTTGTGCTGAGCATCAACATACAGAGATGTGGCTGTCTCCCGGGGGCTGAGAATATCTGCATGGGGTCGGGTAAAGGAGATGCAGTGGTTGGAGAGTGCTGCCCCTTTGAGCTGGTCCTGGGGATTTACACAGCCTGTGGTGGGAATCATGAAAAAAGATGTGATTTTCACTAGTGTTTCTGAGTGCCCTTGCAGTCAGCAGTGGCCTCCAAAGGCTGTTGTGTGCGCTCCATCATTGGCTTCCTTTTCCTCCAGACTGTGTTCCCAGTGTGTATTATGACTGCTTCCCCCCACCCCCTTTTTCTTAATTTGCCCCACTTTGTTTTCTGTTTTTCTGGCTTTCACTCGCTGACACACTAGAATTCCTTCCCCTTTCAAAATAGCTGGCAAAATCTCTACGTCCAGACAAGTGTTGAGCACCCAGCAGGAAGGTGAGCCCATGCTTGAGGTCAAAGCCAGGTGGTTTTAGACTTCTAGTTCAATAACAGAGCTGAAAGGAACAGCAGTGGTAATGGCCAACTCATAGCAATATAAAGAGAAGGGAAAATTACTTAAACAGCTTTTATACTGTGAATGAAGAAACAACCACCAGAACCAATCTGACTGATTACTATTTCAAAGCTGTGGTATGCAACTGTGGCCACAGAACTAGGATTAGATACTGGACTATACTTGGACAGACGAGATGACCTCCCATTTGTGCTCTGGAAAAGCACATCTATGGGAAGGAACATCTTGGAAAAGTACATCCATGTACAAAAACGGTGTCAGGGAGTGGGCTGGAGCCACAGTGTGACACTGAGGCACAGACACATGATTTGGCGTGTCAGGAGGAGCAGCAGATCCTGTAGAAAGGCTCTAGTTCCCATATGTGACAGACCTGAAATCTGACCATCCCTTCATATTCAGGATCATGCTCCCACCTGTGTAAGTTAGCTCTCCTGGTTTGGCTCAAATTCTGCAGACTTATGGTAGTTGAAGGCCTATCCCACCTTTGACCATGAAATGGAAATCTTGGCCAGGAAAACCTTCTTCTCATATCTTGGTTTTCACAGTTCCTTTGTAGGCTCAGTGATCACCCAGTGCGCACTAAGCTTTTCCTAGCTCCCAGTGAGACAGGACAGAAGATCACCGCAGGACCATTGAAATCCTGATGTTGTAAGATGGGCTCTTGGTGTCATGTCAGTATTTACTTGATCTTTGCATGTTTTCTTCACTGT